TTCCAATATCTGAATAACAGCAGTTGTGATAAGAAAGAACAACGGAGTATTAAATAAAAGAGTTAAGGCAATTCTCTTATAACTGAAGGACGTAAGTCTCCAGATTGAAAGACCCACTAAGTAAAGAGCAAAATGAACGAACAGAGACCAAGTAACATCTCTGAAATTTCAGGACCCTAGTGAAAAAGGCTTCCCTTCCAGAGGAAAATCGTTTCTGACCTAGAATTCTATACCTTGCCATACTTTAAGTGTGAGGGTTGGGAAAAAAGACACTTCTAGACATGCCAGTCTCAAATATTGACCTTCTACTAATTTATTCCAAGACACTCTTAGCGGACATGAGGGGGTAAGTCAAGCAAGAAGACATGTGACACAGAAAATCCAACGTGGCTCCACACTGGAGGGTCTAAACCAACACTAAGATGATGGTGAAGGCAGAGCCCAGGATGGAAGCAGTGCATCAGGCAGCAACCAGGCCAAGTGGGAACGTATCAGAAAGCCCCACGGGAGATGTCTCCGAACGACAGAATTTACCGACCATCTGACGCTCTGAACATTTTGAGAAGAGACTTGGACAGCTGGCAGCTTGAGTTTCGATTCGTGTTAAGTACATAAAAAATAAGCAAAATAAATAAAATTAACACCTATTAATGCCAAAAGGTTATAATAAGTTGAGCAGGAAAGGAAGTAAATTTTAGTTTGCCCCATGGATCAGATGTGAACAGGATTAACACAGTCATAATCATGTAAGAGGCCCACACCAAAATTACGGCACGGTTATAGTGAAAGCGTGAGGGTGAAAGTTTGTAAAATCATCTCACTGACTATGCACAACCACAACTTTGAAAAATATGCAATTAAAACAAACAAGCAAACCTCACAGTTCTGTTCGTCAAAGACATCATCATACCATCACGACAGTGAACAGGGAAGCAGAGCGTGTGGGTATTTGAGGCAAAATAATGATGTCCAGAATATAGAAAGAATTTCTGCTAAGGAGCAAGAAAGACAGCCCAGTAGAAAAAGAGGCAAAAGACTTACAGACCCTTCATAAAAGACACTCAAATGGCTAAGAACCATGTGAGATGTGCTCAAGGCCGTTAGTCACTGGGGAAAAGAAAATTACAGGCGCACTGTGAGGCCACAGCACCGCACTTGGAATAACTAAAATAAGACGATGCAGGTGTTGGCAAAGACAAAGAGCCATCAGAACTTACATACAATGCCAGTGCGAGTTCACGTTTTGGAAGACTGAGGCTGAGCGTACCCAAATCCTAAGACTCAAAAATTCCACCGCCAGTAGCTACTTGACAGAAATAAGTGCTATATTCACCAAAAGACATGTGCTTGAATGTTCACAGAGCAACTATCTGTAATAGCCCAAACTAGAAACTACTCAAATGTCCATCAGAAACAGAATTCAGAAAATCTTTGGTATATGCATATAAAGGAACTCTGCACAGCAATGAGAATGAATGGTGTACAAACACACAAACAATAAGGATGAATCTCTTCAACACAAAAGAAACTTCAGACACAAACAGTGTAACTATATGATCTTTTTACGTAAGAGATTAACATCGTAAAATTGATTTATGCTGTTAGAAGTGGTTACCCTGTGGGGGAGGGGGTAATCCTGGAACAGAGCACAGCTGGAACTTCTGGGGTGCTGTTATTCAATCTGTGTGCTGGTTACACTGGCCTGTTCAGTTTGTGAAAATTATATACACACATGCCCGTACACAGACATACATGCACTTCTATGTGTGTTATACTTCAGTTTAAAAAGAAAGAAAGAAACCATAAGCTCTGAAAGTGCTTGGGTTTGAATCCTGGCTCTAGCATCTTCTAACTATGTGGCCTTGAGAAATTCAGATAACCTCTCAAAAAAAAAAAAAAGTTTTCTCATCTATAAAATGAAAATAGTAATACTACCTCCTAAGGTTTGCTGGGAAAATTGAATGAGATGAAGCATATAAATTCCTTAGCAGAGTGCCCGGCACAGAGTTAGTACTTAATAAATTCATACTGTTATCCTTTTTGATCTTCCTCTTTTTTTTTTCGGTGAAAAGACACACCATTTCAACGATTTCTACATGTAAAATCGAGTGACACTGACTACAGTCTTCAAGTTGTACAACAGTCTCACCCTCCTTTTCCAAATTATTCCACCACCATTAACAAACTCATTGTCCCCTAAATTTCCCATCTAACCTTTCAGGTTGCTCTTGTCAATCTGAACCCACACAGATAATTCTTTGAAAGCATACAGTGCTCAAGGCAGACATACTTTACTAATTAAGCTAAACTATTGTTTGGTTCAAAGAAGACTTTGGGGGACAGTTCTGGTTTGAGGTTTAAAGATTATCTCAGGGCAATAGTTTGTAGTGTTCATCTAGCCTCCATAAAGTCTGGATTCCGTGGGACTAGAAATTCTGTTCTATCTTTTTCCCCCTTTTGATCAGGATTTTTCTATAGAATCTTTGATGGAAACATTCGATGCTGTTTTTCTTATTATTTACTCTTTACCTTCCTGATGCCACGCTAAGGAAATCATAACTAATTTGGCAGGAAGTATCAAGAGAGTCATATAGTGCCACAGATTAAACACAATACAGTAGCTCTTTTCCATGCTGGAGTGTCTGCATTAATACTGCTACTGAAGTTACCCAGTCTTTCTTCCTCGAACCCCTAACTAGTCATAGGGAAGAAGTACAGAGATCCTAAACAAAGAAAAATCCAAATCAAACAAGTGTCCCTAAGAGGAAAACGATACATAGGCACTAAGCACAGAAGTAAATATAACAAAGGCAGCAACACCAAAAATGATGGAAAATACAAGAAAATAAAAGACATAAGGGGGAAAGTAGTAGAGATTATAAGAAAACACAAAGAAATAGAGAAATTCAAGAGTAACCAATATATGTAAGTTGGCATCATGGTCCATATTGTTTAGTACAAACAGCCCTCGACTTTAAAACATTTATCCTGTCATCTGAAATCTATTTTCTGAACTGAAACTGTGGACCCAATACTATGGCAGGAACTGAAGACACAGAGATGATTCAAAGCCATTCTGCCCTAAAAACAGCCGAGTGAAGGAGGCAGGCAGACAAAAGAACTGCAGCAATCTAACAGTTGTTACAACCCAGCTGTGTACCAGGTGCTTGGAAGCCAACGGAGCACCTACTTCCTAAGAGGCAGGAGGGAGGACAACCAAGAATGACCTACATATGAGGAGATCTGCAGATCTCACAAGAGCCCTACATACAATGCTAAACGGTCGAGACTTTTTTCTTTATCTAGGTCCCAAGCAGTGGTTTAGAAAGCCCTAGATGTTCTGGAGGAGCCCTGGTGGCGAAGTGGTTAAAAGCTCAAGCTCCTAACCAAAAGGCCGGCAGTTCGAATCCATCAGCCGCTCCTTGGAAACCCTATGGGGCAGTTCCACCCTGTCCTATAGGGTCGCTATGAGTCAGAATCCACTTGACGGCACACAACGACAAGACATTCTGGAAGGTGTTCAAGGGATTCTTGCTTCCTTCTACTAACAAATTTTTTTATTTTAAACAAGAAGAAACTGAGAGCCTCTATTAGTATATCAAATGAGAGGAACACACCATCATGAGTACCCAAGATGGTTTTGATTGTTTCACAGTTCACGATAGTTTTGATTCTTAGCCATACACTGTTTCATACACACCAATACTGGACCACTGGTTAAAATCAGGAAGTTAACATGGATTTTGAAAAACAGTTATACGAGTAGGAATAACAATAAACTCTCCTCAAAATGATCTGCACCACATGCTTACCGCGGTGGTGCAGCGACATTTAACACACATTTAAAATTCGTTCATAGCAAATTCAGATATCTCTACAACTTCAAAAACCAAAGATAAAACAGTAGCAATAATTGTAGCAAATTTTGCTTTGCATTTATTGGCAATTCACACTTACAATGTGCTATGTCCTAAGAAGTGCTTGCAAAAAACAGCCTGAAATTTTCTCTTATTATGTTTAAAAATGAGCATAAAAATTTCAAAAAAAAACCAAGCTGGTGTTTTTAAGTGGAAAATTAAAGAATTCCAAAACTAGTTTTGTCTTTTAATGCCATTAGATGTGACTAAATTTAAATTTATTTCAAAACAGATTTGGGCAAAAATTAAACATGTCATTTTTAATCTGTCTACAAATCATGTTTTTTTCCTTATATAGTGGGAAAAAAACATAGTAGGAAATTATTAAAGGATTTTAAGCTAGATAATAATACTATCAAATATGAATTTTTGAAAATCACCCTGTTAGCAAGAAATATGGTTTATATACGGGCAGTATTCTATTTGGAATAAAAACACTTTTAAGGATATTTTAAACAGGGAAGATCCAGGAATGTATTTCAAAAGAATTATCTGGAGCAATATATGATACACGTGGTGTGTATCCCTTAATATCTTCCTTTTATAATTTAGAACTGCAACAGTTTAGCATCTTCTCAAGCAGACTACCAGATTTTTAATTCATTTATAATTTACATTAAATAGTATGCTAATTTTAAAACAATTCACCTAAGATTCTTCTAAGTAAAAAACACATTTAGGGTCTTTAAAACATCCTGAAGCAATTTTCGGCATCTCTAATATGTCTGGAAATAGGCTCAGATTTGGAAAACCATCTCTGAAAACGCGGTCCAATCAAAAGCTGTATCTAGGCAATGTTTTTTTCTTCCAAGGTAATTCAAGACTTGGTCAACTAAGGGTGAGGCCTGCAAACAACATATCCAAGACAGAACTCTCAAAACTTCTAAAGGCCCAGCTTCGCAAATCGTCTGCTCTCATGCCCCCTTGTGGCTACTACAAAACCACTTAAATTTTAGATTCGTAAGGTCTTAACGATACAAAGACAAATTATATAACTAGTAAACACATGACTTGGTAACACATGGTAATTACTTCTATTCAAAACATCAGAAAGAGAAAAGAGAAGACTGAATCTGGTCTTACCTGCTAGGGTTTTTAGGGAATCTAGAGTTGGAAGAATAGGAGGAGATCTTCTCTGGAGAAAAAAGATGACCATCATTGTAAGGGAGAAATTTGTGATCCAAGCACCAGGAATACTACTTGTTAACGAGTGTGCTCGAGCCCAGCACCGTATACTGAACACCAAGGCTCTTACTCGTGAGTCCAGGGCACCATAAATATACAGGAGTTCAGAACTTTTCAAGGCAATCCTTCAAAAAACAGAAGAATTTTCAACCTCCAAAATTCTCATGCAATTCTGTCTAATTCTCTTCCTATACCTGAATATATTCAAAACACCCTGATCCGATAATCGAAAGCATAATGTTATTTGCAATGTGATTAGTTAAATACCAAGCACATTCAATACCATTAACACATTCTTTTAAATGTTGATAATTACAACGTAATTCTAAAATCTAGAATTTTTAAATCGAAGTTCCTAAACATGATCTCAGTAAGTGAAATAAACTACAAAAGGGTTCTTTAAGAATTATCAATAAAGACAGAACTGCATTTGTAAGTGAGACTCTTTACATCTTAGTTTTACACCTTGGTTACCTAGTCCTTCTGTAGACAAGTTAGCCTGCAAACAAAGGGAAATACTTTACTCATTTTATCAAAAAAAAAATAAAGTGTGTTAAAATACTGTTGTAAAAAATACAAAATTATCTAAGGCTAATATTTATAAAAATGAAAACCCAGTAGGATCAAGTGTCTATTAAGAAATCAAAGTTCAGGGCCGACTTTCAGTAAGTTTCCTAGTCATAATGTTATAATGCAAATTCAAAGAATTACTTTCTTATTGTTACTGAAAATATACACTGAAAAATATACACCAATTCAACAATTTCTACATGTACAATTCAACAACACTGATTACATTCTTCAAGTTGTACAACCATTTTCACCCTCCTTTTCTGAATTGTTCCTCCCCCATTGACATAAACTCACTGTCCTCTAAGCTTCCTATCTAACCTTTTGAGTTGCTGTTGTCAATTTGTTCCCATATAGATTATTCTTTAAAAAAACACAATGCTCAAGGCAGACATTCTTTACTAATTAAGCTAAGCTTTCGTTTGGTTTAAAGAAGACTTCCGGGGATATTTTAGTTTAAAGTTTATTTCAAGGCAATAGTTTCTGGGGTTCATCCAGCCTCAATGGCACCAGAAAGTCTGGATTCCATGAGAAAACTCAAAGAACTATTAGTCAGACACATTTTAAAATCAAGTTCCTACTGATCAAAACATGTGTTGTAATTTTTTAAAGAACCGACAGGGGGCATAAAACCCTTTAAAAAGAAAATTCAAACTGTCTCTAAAAGTATCCCCAGACATTTACTTCCTGGGTTTAAAGAGAATAGGAGAAATAGTAAATGAGAAATACACAGTGATTAAGTATTGTATATATGTAAATAAATCTAAGTTAAGCTGAAAAAGAAAGAAAATATAAACAAATAGATGCATCCGATATAAAGAAACATTACAGAAACCGTAAAAACCTCAAGAAAGCAAAATTTTAAAAACCCGTCCCGACAGGACAAAAAAATAAAACTATTACAAAGATAAATATCGTATTGTCATACTTTACATACCATGGACAAAATGTAACGACAGAAAGTGCAGTTGACATTTTTGTACTAAAATTTGGCAAAGCAATTACTAAGACTTTACTCCATGGGATACCAGAGAGAAACTCAGAAGTACTTCGAACTGGCTTATTATTGACACTTCAGTTTAAGCAAAACTGCTCTAGACTGGACTATCATAATCTACTTGAGTTGTGATGATTCATCTAATAGTAAATACAGTGAAATTAAACACGTCACGAGAAGAGTAGAGTTAGGAAGTGAACTCCCGGCTTGGCAGGCTTCCCTACTGAGAACTGAGGGAAAGGGATCAGAGCGCGGAAGGACCTGACACTCTCACTGCACTCTCTTCTTTAAGCAAACAGCCAGAAAGGATTACAAAACGCAAAGACGCTGAAGAAAAACTCTCCAGTCATCAACTGTTAAACCACTTTCTGACCTAAGCAAAGAAGAACACATTTGTTCATTATAAAAAATTGACCTGGAGGTAATTCAGAGGTCAAACTCGAGTTGTTACTTTATTTTCTAAGTACAGGCAGCCCCAGATTAGGAATGAGTTCTGTTCCTAAATCTGTCTTTAAATCGAATCTGCATGTGAATTGATCAGTTAAGTACGATTCTTATCTAACCTCAGCTAGTCAAATGTTTGTCTTAGTATGAAGTGTACCTTTCCATGCATTAAAAACATTAAAACATTTCCAGATACACTAAAACATCTTTAACATAATACAGTAATCATGATAATAATGTGTTCCTGCGCGTCCCAAAGGAGTGCCCTCTGTTATCATGAACCACTGCACGCACCTCAAATTTTTAACACTAGTAGGCTTTACTGCAGGGTTGGTTCCTAACTACGGTTGTATGTCAATCACAGGGTTATATGTAAATTCATAAACCAGGGACTGCCCGTGTACAACACAGAATAGTTAGCTACTATAAATAGATACTTTCACCATGCTATCAGGATACACCAGCAACAACAATGAAACACAATTCTTCTGAGATGTTAATTAGATACCTTAACATTTTAACACAGTATCCTAACACCCTGTTTAGGAACAGCAAAAAACTCATTAGGTGTAAGAACTTAAGAGAGGTATTTCCTACTTTTCATTCCAAGTGTTCAAATTAAACGAAATACAACAACAAAGAAACAACGAAAAGAACTACTAAAGCACATTTAAGAGCCCAAAGCCACTGTTTCTGTACAAGAAAAGCTATGCTAACATCTTGTAATATTCACGGTTGAGATGATAAGCTTAAGAGAGCATACCTATTGTTAGTCGTCAGATCACACTGAAATCCAGAGGCCTGGTGGGAGAACCTCACAAGCGGACATCGAGCATTTAATATTTTCTGTACGCCCACACAGCCGGGGCCAAAGTGGTCAAGACACTCTCCTATCACAGACAGGATCTTCTGCGTTGCAATTCTTTCTGAAGGAACATTTTTCACTTGAAATTCCATCCGAAAATTTTCTGAGGTCTGAATAATAAAAACATTTGTAAACAGAAGCTTTTGTAAAAACGAATTTCTTAAACTTTTCTAAAAGGATGCTCCAAATGATTTCTGAGGAAAATAAAAACCCCACAAAATGAAAATTCTTTATGCAATCAAAGCTGAAAGTAGCTGTAAAAGATCTTCAGTTGGGCCTTTTGTTTCTCCAGAGTATGAAGTACTAACTTGAGAAATCACTGGCTTTTTTATAATTAACTTCTGTACCACATGGTATATTAAATATAGAACCACGGACTCCGTAAATTCAGTAAACATGTTTGCCCTTTTCTAACGAGTCATTAGATTGTAATAGAGGCTGTAAACCCGCAGGTGTAAGAGCAGATCAAGAGAAGAAAATAACGCAGTATAGACTTAATTATATGTGAAAGTTTAATATTTAATAAAATGAAGTCTGCTATTAACTGGGTAAAAATTACTATTCAATGAATGAGTCATATGGCCACCAAAAACAAATAAATAAAAACTAGATCCCTAACTTAGTCCTAAAACCAGAGTAAATTCAACATGGATCAAAGACTTTAATGTAAAAAGTTTTATCAGAAAAATCCCAGAAGACAATGGGTGACTATTTTTACAAACTCAGAGTAGTGAAGGATTCTCTAAGCATGACACAAGATTCCAGAAGCCACAAAAGAAGAAATACGATTGTATAAAAATTAAAACTGTCTCAGGGCACAGCACACGGGCACAAGGAGACAAAAGGCAAAGTGAGACAATAATATACATGTCACACAAAGGGCAAACTTCCCTGACTTATGAAGCATTCTTACAAATGAATAAAGGGGACAAAACACCCCATTCTAAAAATGGGCGAAAAAGACCTGAGTAAGACATTCACATAAGAAATAAAAATGGCTAAGGAGTATAGGAAAAGCAGCTCATGTTTTCTAGATGCTAACTAAGTAGAAATGAACCCAGCGAGGTTTTTCATGTACCAGACAGGCAGAGACAAAGGCTGGCAGTCCCAGCACTGGCATATGATCGGGAACCGATGGTACAGAAGGAAGAAGTCCAAGCCGCACTGAAGGCATCGGTGAAAAACAAGGCTCCGGGAACTGACGGAATTATCAATTGAGATGTTTCAACAAATGGATGCAGCACTGGAAGTGCTCACTCGTCTATGCCAAGAAATTTGGAAGACAGCTACCTGGCCAACCAACAGGAAGAGATCCGTATTTATGCCTATTCCAAAGAAAGGTGATCCAACCGAATGGGGAAATTATTGTACAATATCATTAACATCACACGCAAGTAAAATTTTGCCGAAGATCATTCAAAAGCAGCTGCAGCAGTGTATCAACGGGGAACTCAGGCCAGATTCTGAAGAGGACGTGGAACCAGAGATATCACTGCTGATGTCACATGGATCCTGGCTGAAAGCAGAGAATACCAGAAATATGTTTACCTGCGTTTTACTGACTATGCAAAGACATTCAACTGTGTGGATCATAACAAATAATGATAACACCGTGAAGAATGGGAATTTCAGAACACTCAACTGTGCTCATGAGGAACCTGTACATAGATCAAGAGGCAGCTGTTCGGACAGAACAAGGGGATACTGCGTAGTTTAAAGTCAGGAAGGGTGTGCGTCAGGTTGTATCCCTTCACCATACCTATTCAATGTGTATGCCGAGCAAATAATACAAGAATCTGGACTATATGAAGAAGAATGAGGCATCAGGATTGGAGGAAGACTCATCAACAGCCTGCGTTATGCAGATGACACAACCCTGCTTGCTGAAAGTG